ACCCTGACTCTTGTGTTTCAAGCCTGCCTCAGATACCCCTGAAGGCCAGACTTCAGGGGTATCTGAGGCAGGCTTGAAACACAAGAGTCAGGGTGGCTTCTGGGTAATACCAGATGGCTAGGCCTCAGACCGACGAAGCCTCTTGGATGAGGGGCGAAACGTTTCTTTTTAACAAAAAAAACGAAGTCCAGATGACATGATTCAACCTTTTTTGTTATTAGACAGGACATTCAGACACTGCATGGGGCATCAGTATCATTCAAAATCTCTCCCATACATCAGCCCCACAGATCCTACAGGATTACAAATGCCTTCACCACCCAACCTCTAAGATAAGCAGAACATTCCTATCCAATTTCTACTCTCAAGAGAAAGTATAAACACCTCTCTAACCTGCCGCTCAAAGCTTTCAGCAATGTTTCACCGTTGCTGTTAATCAGTGCTGATCACCCCCACCTTCTGTGCCCTATAGAGCGAGTACACCTTGGCCCACCAGGGGGCCCAGCTGCTATCCACACACGACTAGGATGGACATTACAAGGGCCAACAACAGCGCTTGAGTCAAAGTTACTGCCTCATCAGTGCCTGTTTACATCTCTCAGCTCAGAAGCCCTGAAATTAAAGAGAAATGTGGAAAAGCTGTGGCAGGTTGACATTCTCCCTTTCAGAAATGAGAAAGAGGTCACTAGGTCAAAGGAGGATACTGAGGCAATAAATCTTCTCAAGTCAAAGACTAAGAGGGTAGAGGTCAATGGCATATTCAGGTATGCAACACCACTCCTGAGAAAGAAAGAATCACCAATGTTTCAGACTCCTAAAGAAGCAGTAATGCCAAGCCTCAGGAGTATTGAGAGACGTCTGGCTAAAGACCCCGATAAAGCTGCTGCATACAGTATGGAGATGGAGGAACTTGAGACCTCAGGAGTTGTGGCCAAACTTGGACCTGATGTGCAGCAGGAAAGCAGTGAGAGCTGGTATGTACCCCATCACATGGTTGAAGCGGTCTGCTGTTTGTGGTATTGCAGTTACTGGTCTAGACTCTTCAACAACAGAACAGTCTAAAGCCAAGACCTGGAAGGAGCTATTAGAAGTCTCAGTTAAGGAGCTGCATGGGGTGGCAGTACAACATGGCTCTTCAGCACCTGCTCTACCACCTGCTGAGA